CACCTCATGACCTAAACGAAACACAGAAGCAGATGAGGCCTGTCTGAACAAAGCCAAGAGTTTGTATGACACTCTGGGTGATTTTTGCCTTCAGTGTGTTACTAATACAGAGTCATGAATTTTCCACACTGAGACTTTCTCATTCATATCCGCTTTGCCAAATCAATTTTGAGCTTACTATTCTGCCCACAGAAAGGCATTTCCATAGAGGCTTTAAGGTGAAGCCATGAAGAGACTGACAGCCTAATCCTAGATTTTTAGGACTGCTCAGATAAAAGTCCTAAGATCAAGTCATATGCTTGTGCATTAGGGTTAATTGCAAGTTTCCAGATATTCTGTTCTTAGCTGTTTTGTGCTGGTATGGTTACCAAGCAAACTGGAATCTGGTTTGTCCTTAAGCAGAAGGTCGGCTCAAGGATGAGGAGCCGTTGAGGGAAGCGAGGTTTTTAAAAGTTAAGCATTCCAATAAAAATAATGAGATACAATGGAATCTCGTATGCACAATTTACTCCAAACATTCCAACACTGTTTAAAGAAATTAAACTTTAGTTAGAGATTGTTTGGATTATTGTGAAATGGGATATATAGAGCCAAGGAACTGTCACCTCAAAAATATTTACCTTTCATTTTTGCAGTGCAGTCAGACTCTTATTCAATCATTTGAGAGAAGAGGTGACAAAAAATATATGATAACATATGCATTTAATAAATAAAATATGCTTGGCTACCTCAAATGTCATGACGGAAAGTGCCCACACACTAGTTTCAATGTCATCCGATTGCTGTTCTTTTCCACACAACTCTCATTTTCAGTCACTCAGCATCAAGCACTGATTTGCCTCTGATTTATGGCTTTTGTCAACGATATATTAACTGACGGTGAGACTGAGTCAGAGCTAAAATTGTGTAGTGCACAGATATTGGTCTGTAATAACCAGCCGTGAACCATGCCTTCCATGTTCACAAAATATTCAGAAGCTGTCATTTCGTCTGTTTTTGCTCCACCAATGAAAATAATAAGTCACTGCGTAATATACCGGTATATTTGTTTCCGAGCAACACTTAGTGGTGTTTAGTTTTTAAAAGGATCTGTATTCCAATTTTGGTTGAATGAATGATTCATTGACTCATAACGCCATTGTATTTTTGTATTCGACTTCTGATCTTTTCCTTGGCATTTCCTTAAAGTTGAAATATGTAAAAAAATAAAATAATTATATATATGTTAAAATGCATTCTCTTAACTTAAGTGTCACCGGCCCACCGGTGGGCCCAAATCCATTACATTTTTAAAACAGTAATATCCTATACTAAACCTAAACTAATCTTGACAAACTATATATCATTTGAAAGCTTACAATCTCTTACAATGCTTACAATGATTTTCAAAATGAATTACAGAGGAGCCATAATTTATCAATTTGCAACAAGAATATTTTCATACTCCTAAGGCGTGTTTAGACCTTTATTTTGAAATAGCAATGAACATGAAAAATCATGAAAGAAGGGTAGAAACCTCAGTTTGTTTTCATGCCAAGTGTTCAAAAGATAGCATCCATTCAATTATTTTAGAAAAAAAGGTCTGAATTTTTTTTAAATATAAAGAAAAAATTATAGATTCACCATTTGTGAGGTGGCAGGAAGCTATAACGCACATACTTATTCTTTTTGTGTTTCTTAGAGGTCGAATTCATATCAAAATCTGCCAAACGTCTCATATTACTTCTGAATAGGATGTCTACTTCATAAATTGTATGAAAATTGTGGAAATAATAGTTCATATCACTCAAAACACATTTGGAAATGGAGGCGCCCTTATATGGGCAGTAATGGAGTCTGGTTGTCCCCTAGTGAAAAAGTTTGGTACTGCGCCCAAACAAAATCTTACTGAAAGCTCATTTTTTGAAATATCAACCTAAAATTTGAAGCACAACTTGTTCAGATTTTTGACTTTGATTTTTTTTTGTTGCAGTTTTAGAGTCGCCCAGGTTTTGAAAATATATATTTTCTATAAAATATGAATAATACATTTTTTTACATTGTACATTTTCATAAACTCAAACTTCTATAACTTTTTTTCTGTTTCACTTTCTTAATTTATTTCACTTCTACAAAAATCTGCCAAATGTCTTCTTTAAAAAAAGACCAATCTTACGTCCATATTCCAAAGCATTCTTGAATTACAACCATTTAAGTTTGAAATGTGCATTTTCATGTATATTCAAAAAAGGGGGGTGACACTTAAAGGGTTAACCCGGCTTATTGCGCAACATACACTTAAGAATGAATGGGTTATATACTGTAATATTTAATGTTACCCATGATCCTATCAGAGCTGTCAGAGTGCTGACTGCTGCTCTTCTGTTTTAGTCTGTGAAGCGTGTTCTGGTAAAGTGACCTAAGTGGATTCTGAATGCACCTTTAAAAAAAAGAAAAAGGAAGAAGACAATGATGCAGTCTGCAGTCTGAATTAATCATCATTCTTTTTTCCACCTGAAAATGCTTTCCCAATAAAATGTGTCTGATTAATATACTGTGTAGGCCTACTCACTGCAAATTCCTCAGGGATCAATCATAACCACTCCAAATGTATATACTTTGCTAAGAGCAGTCTGGCAACACTAGTCATCTGAACTGCAGTGTTTTTTGAGTATGACGAGACGTAATTCCAGCCACATGTCTGTCGGGTTTAAACAGACAAAAGAGAGATGCATGCAGCAAAAGCAATGTGAATCAGGACCTGAAAGTGACTCAGACTGTTAGACACATGCTTGATCTCAACAGGTGTGTTGGAACAGATGTTGTTAACTGTGGAAATATGAAGGTAAAAGAGTGGCTGCAACGCATTCTCATCCCAAGGCGTCACTAAAATGACAATTTTGACCATGCTTTAATATTCAACGCTTTAGGCACCCTTTAGCGTCAGTTACATGACGCGATCCTAGGGCGTCATCTTACTGACGATTTACCTTTAGCGTCAGTTAGATGACGCGGGTAGGTTTAGGTCTGGGGTAGGGTTAGGATTAGATAGCGTCAACTAACTGACGTTAAAGGTAAAGCGTCAGTAAGATGACGCCCTAGGATCGCGTCATGTAACTGACGCTAAAGGGTGCCTAAAGCGTCGAATATTGAAGCATGGGCAAAATGATTCCCAAGGCGTCAGTTTCATGACGCCTAGGGTAGCAATACTCGAGAGCACGTAGATGTGAATTTGAGAACTTGTACAATAAATATTCGCGATATATGAGGTGCAAAACTGATTTGTGCACAAATCAGTTTTGCACCTCATATCGCGAAAAGAGTAGCGAAAGTGAAGGCGCGAAATTTGAATTTGCAGTGACAGATTTGAGAAGTGGCAAGTGCTAATTTGAGGTTGTACTGCGAATTTGAATGTTAGAAGAAGTGCAAATATATTTTAAATGTTTGTGACTGTCATTGTATTTCTGTGAATGGCATTTTACACATTTGTGATTGCTTGTCTGCAGCTTCAGATTCAGAATACAGGTTTGTGACTATTGTCTGCGAGTGCAAATTTCAACATTCAACTTCAGATTTTTATTTTACAGGTTTTCACATTGGAGCTGTGAGTGTAACTGTAAATGTTCACATACAAGTACGAATATTTATTGTACAAGTTCTCAAATTCACATCTATGTGCTCTCGAGTATTGCTACTCTTTTACCTTCATACTTATCAGGGCCATTTTATGATTAATTGAAATAAATTTCTTACATACAGCTCCTGTAAGCACACTTCTTTTTCACTTGGGATTTTGAACATAATACTTAATTTTCTGATAATACAGGAATACTTTAGCACACAAAGATTTTTTTCCCGGATTTATGTCTGAGATAATATCCTACTTTGCATCTGAAGGCGACATCAACATGGTCAGTCTTGAGGACAAGAGAATACGATACCAATATGATCAGGGAAACTGTAAACAGAGACACATGTAAGTGTGTTTGGGATGGATTGATAACGCAGGCCATTAAGTCTAAAGGGAAAGATTTCTATCATGATTCCTGTTCAAAAGTGCTGTGTGGTTATTTTTTTCATGGCTTCTGGGTACTTTTCAAATATTCATAATACATGCTGATGGATATCAACAATCAACATCCCAGGCAAAGCAAATACAGTGTATGCACGCACACACACACACACACACACACACACACACACACACACACACGCACGCACGCACGCACGCACACACACTCACACACACACACACACACACGCACGCACGCATGCAAGCACGCACGCACACACACACACACACACACTGCTAAGCCACAAGTTAGAAGCACCGAAACATGATCTAATTTCAGACTTCAGAGTGGTTTTCATTTGGATTAATGGACAATAATACAGTCGGCATTCTGCATATAGAACATGCAGACGATTATGGAAAGCATATGAGTTTGATGTAAGCTACTTCATTTTATTTCAGACCTCAATCAGGCCGGTTATTTCAGTGGATCTCCATTTGTAACAGAGCTATACCACAGGCCCATTGAAGCAGCTTACGAGCAAATCTTGGTAAAGTTGAGGAAAACACTATGATTCTTTTCCTTCTACTTTCTTAAAAATAACAGTTCCATTCAGAACCATAATGGTTTCACAGCCTGATATAACAACCAAACAAAATCACCACAAAGAGCTTTTTATTTTCTTGTCTTATTATAAAACAATCTCTGTTCGATAGATAGATAGATAGATAGATAGATAGATAGATAGATAGATAGATAGATAGATAGATAGATAGATAGATAGATAGATAGATAGATAGATAGATAGATACTATTTTAGTAAATTAACTGTATTACACATCTAAGCGTTTGGTCTGTAAGTCAGTCAACAGCGGACGTGTCACCCAGACCACTCACGCTGAATAAGTGAGAAGCAGTGGAAGCTGTCAGATGCTCCTCCTATTTTTTTCTCACGGCTACTTTGTCAACCGCATTAGGGAAGTCGTATAAGAAGTCTTACTCTTACTAGTCCACCTTCACAACAACGAGCGTGAGGAATGAAGAAAGGCAACGCTTTTTATTACTGTTTTGTTTGGTTTCAGGAGTAACGAACTAGTGTGGAATTAGTTTGTGCGTTAAATTCTGTGGTTGGCCAGAACTGGATAGACTAACTAAACTAAAAACAGTTTATTATGAATTAAAAGAGAGCAAACGACTGAAGAAACGGAAGCTCGAAGATATACCATATCGACGTCGCTTTGAAATATTATGTTTGGAGAGTCAGAAATACATATATGTTGTTCAGTGAGTGGTGTGGTTGGGAGGAATGGCCGCGCGCAGCAGTGATGGACACGCCGCGGACAGGTGCGTACTGACTGATGATTTAAAATGTACGCTTTGCCATGACTACTTCGTTGTTGTGAAATTATTGGAGTGAGAAACAGTTGTCCAGCAAAGGAACATCTGTTATGAACTGTGTTACATAAAACATGACAAACGCTTTTTGAAATAAAATAAAATTAAAATCATACAAATGCTCTCATTTGAGTCTGTAAGACACGGTTGTGCATTGGGCATTGAAATCACATGTGAAAAGGCAGAGCGGTTTGAGTGAAAAGTTGCATTGAAAAATTGACATGATTTCAGAATCTGTTTTGTCCCTCTTTCTTCAACTTGACATGTTTGCACAAAACCTGATGATCGTGTTCTCCAGCATGATTTGAGACTGATCCAAACAGCATCTAATGCTTCAGTTGAAACAAATACCGTCTTTGAGAATATCACAGATTTACCCATTTTTATTAATAACTTAGAAATAGTACTAAATCCATATAATTTAAATCTTTAAAATCCACTTTTTTTCCGTAGACATTTGCACCTCTCCATACTTTACATACAACAAAAACATAATCTAATCACTGCATACAATAGGGCTTCTAAAATTGTGCAGTTAAAAGGATCTAGTTCTACCTGAGATGTTTGTTAAAATAATAAGGTTTATTCAGTCATATGAAAATATATTTAAATATGCTAATTTTTGTCTAATAACACGCTCTCTAAAATGTGAAAACCACTCTGTGTAAATCCACTTACCACTAACAATTGATAGCAAACAGATAACTATGATTCATGGTTGTGGGATATAAACAAAAGCCTACTGGCTATTTAAAAACAACAAACCATTAGACATACAGTATCCTGCCACAATGGCCTGTTCCAACAGGAAGTTGAAAACAGTGCTCATCAGCCTACTTCATGGGGTTGTTAAGAACTATGGGTGGGATCTAGCATGAGACATATTGATTCTGAAGAAATACTTTCTATTTTTAACAGATCATCCAAGAGGAGGAACTGCAAGTATTTCACGATAGACAAAATTGCCATTGCCCGATCCCTGTGTCTGGGCTCAGGGTTTAAGGGCAGGTCCGTCTGAACATGGTTTCAAACAAGTCATGCGAGAACATCACCAGAATCGATGTGAATGGGAATCCGGTGATGAGCACTGTGATGTTTATCGCCGGGGTGGTTGGCAACCTCATGGCTCTAGCTATCCTGGGTTTCCACCAGAAAGAGCGTCGAACCAAGTCCTCAGTTTTCTGCATTCTCGTGACAGGCCTGGCTCTGACAGATCTGCTGGGAACGTGTTTACTCAGTCCACCCGTTTTCATTTGCTATTCCCAGAGCAAATCTCTGGTGGGTCTGACAGGAGATCGGTGGCTGTGCGGACTCTTCGCCTTCGCCATGACGTTCTTCGGCCTGGCCTCTATGCTCATACTCTGTGCTATGGCAGTGGAGCGGTGTCTCGCCATCAGTCACCCGTATTTCTACTCCAAACATGTACGCCGCAGCTTCGCTAAGATCGTCCTCTTCCTCATCTATCTCTTTACCTTCGTTTTCTGCTTGCTGCCTTTCTTTGGATACGGGCGGCACAAGCAGTATTGCCCAGGCACGTGGTGTTTCATCAAGATGGAGGCAGAAGGAGAGAGTGAGGATGAGGAGAGGAGAACACTGACCTTCTCGCTGTCCTACGCCGTGCTCATGGCGCTGCTCATCGCTATAGTGTTCTTGTGCAACGGTTCGGTCATCGTCAGCCTCTGCCGCATGCACCGGAGCCAGCTGACACGTCGGGGTTCGGTGGTGTCGGCTGGGCGCAAGAAGAGGCTGAGCACCTGGTTTGGACAGGGAGAGGAGGAAATGGACCATTTACTGCTGCTGGCCTGCATGACCTTCATCTTTGTCATTTGCTCCTTGCCCCTGACTGTGAGTAGCATACATTTTCTATTGTTTTATGTCACTCCGAAGTGTTCTAGTACAATGTTTTCCAGCTTGTTTACTTAAGATGAGGATCTTGATGAGATTTTACAACAGTTAGTTCTGGTCCCGTGGTCAAGTGCTTTCCAAGAGCCCTGATCTTTTGTATAACTATCCAGACAAGAGTTTGTGAGTGGTCAGCGTTTTGGGAAACCTCTCTGTTCTGTGAGGCTTTACCGCTCTCATATAGGCATGCCAGAACAGTAGTTGGTGGTATTGTGCCATAAAGCTTTTATTTCAAAAACTACGGAAGAACATTTTGGGCTTGCTTATCGAAGTTCATTTTTTCCTGATGTCAAACAATAGAATGGTGAAACAAAACATGGGAGAAACAGAGCTTTTAAAAACTTTTAACCAGGGATATCAACTTCGCTCCTGGGGATCCACTGGAAAGCTCCATCCCTAATCAAACACACCTGAAATTTCTAACCTAAAGTCTTCATGATTGCTTGAAAATTACAGGCAGGTGTGTTTGACTAAATTCTCCAGGACATGGCCCTCCAGGACCAGGAATTTTGAAATGGTTCAAAATCAACCAGTTTAAAGCCTTGTTTGCTGAAATCATGTGACTTGGTGATTTTGAAACAAACTCCAAATCACTGATTAAAAACAAGATTTGTAAATGTCTCAAAGCTTCATGAAGCACGAGCGCGCTTCACTACAAAACAGAGGTGCATACTCATTTATGTTGACAGATTGCGAGGAATAGTTGAACCCATTTGATGGAGAATAACCATCTATGAACAACTGTTAGCTGTTACCATCCACAAACCTTGTTCATGATGTAACCCTATTCTAATACGTATCACGGAAAATGTAATGCATTTTCAAATGCAATTGTTTTTTTGTTAGCTTTTATTTTCAAAAAACATTTTCAGTGACCTTTCAGTGAGTCACTTTGCTGTTGGCGTTGCTATCCTGCCGCTGTATTTAACTTGACCAGACGGGGGATCGCATTGGTAGTCAGTGTATTATGTTGCTGCTAATTTGCATAAAATGTACATAAAATTGAGCTTTGCTCAACTTTGTTGCATCACCCACAGTCTATGTCACGCTGAAAATCAGACACTCATTAAAAAATATGTCTGGTGTCTTTGTTTCCCTTGATGAAAAATCCAGAAAAACAGCTGTAAACAGCATAACCCAGCCTAGACCAACATGTAATTCCTGCTGGTTTATGCTGTATATTTCAGCAAGGGCTCTTTCCCAACCCTTGTCGTCCTTTAAACAGATGCGATATACTGGAAATAGCCCTGCTTGAACTGTAATTGCTCTTAAAACAAATGATTCTGCTTTAAAAGGGCATGGAGGTTGTCTTTACAATTTGGTGGCAAATTATTCACAGTTGTTTAGTCTAAGATCAGTTCAAAACAAAATCTTTTGCCTTTAAATTGCCTCCTGCTAACATACTTACGGGTTTATTTAAGTGATTGACTAAACATCAAGTCTACATTTTACAAGTCAACCAGCCTTGGTGAAAAGCAGCACATATTTACCTTCTTCAACCCATTCAGTGAGCTGTAGGTGAGGTTGAGGTGTAGTCCTTTGAGTTCACTGGGTGTGTATGTGCTGCGGGGGAGATGTGACATGTATTACATAACAAAGGCTATTATTTTTGCATTGTAATCCCAAATCCCAGTTGATGTGTTATTTTACCACGTTGTCTGAGTTAGCTTTTAATTTAGAAGCACGTTACAAACTTGAAAACCCTGGAAGACTGGATTAGATGAGCCCTGTTTTTCCTCTACCAGTTTAAAATAGTTTGGTTTCTAAGTAGATCAGTTCAGTTCGGAGATCAGTTATTTTTTTCTGTTTTTGAACATACTAAAATCATTTGAAAAGATTCTATAAGTGTAGAACCTTAAAACAAATTACTATATTGCTCAAACTTTGGTTAAAGTTTTGAAAAAGGTTTTGTTAGTAACAAAAGTTATAACAAAGGCTATCAATCAATGGAAGATAGGATATATATGACTAAATGTGTTTTTATTGTGTTTTGATAATTAATCACACTAATGCATCAAGCTCTCTCGATTTTTCTCTCTTGTCTCTCGCTCTTGCTTTTTTTCCCTCCCGTTTTTTACCATGACCTCTCAGCCGTTTTGTACACTTCAGCATGCAGTCTCTGCAATATATTGAAAGATGACAGATGACACTAATGGTATTCCCTTTGTCTCATGAAATGCTCTGTTTGTCGCCTGGAAATAAACACTAGATACTTTATCCAAAGCAAATAGTTTACATAACCAAACCATTGTGATATTCTTTCCATACACAGACTCAGAATCATGTGCATTTGCACCCACCCAAATGTCATATTTTACCTTTGTAATATTAAACGGTAAGGAACGTCTCCATTCAGAACAGGCACAGGGTACAGCTGGACTTTTAGAGAGGCTGTATGCAGAAGGAGGTAAAGGAGGAAGGAACTATGTCACAATATTGGAAAAGACCTGGTTCATGTTTTCTTTTTAGAAATGTGAAAATATTTCAAATTATTGCAAAATTCTAAAAGTATGGTAATGTAATAATTACAAGGTAGACCAAACTTTTATTTTGCTGGGTTGTAATGAAGACCTTTGAGTTTGGGTGTGTTTTATCAAACAGCATTATTATTTTAATAATTATTATTATTACACGGCAGACTTCAGATTTCAATAGCAGTCTTTTTGAGCTTTAATATTCACAGACACTTGTCCATATCGATATCTGATTCATTGTACAGCCCTACTTTTGATTTATTCAACCAAAAATTGGCAAATTCTGTGACGTTCCGCTTTAAACAAGTTCCATTTGTGAACTTTCCGTGATTCCATCCGTGTTTTCTGCATTGCCGAAATCAAATGGCTGTTCAAGGTATTTGCAGTATTAAAGAAAGTTAGTTTTGTGAGTATGTATTGTGGTATAAAGTTGTTAGCATTAGTTTAAGAATGGTATATGCAGTTAATAGAGGTCCGCTCTCAATAGACTCTACAAAGCGTTCTTCATGGTCATTGAATAGATACAGCAGCTGTTTCAGCTACGCACCTATATGGCTGAAATCCCTGAGCCAAAGTATGTCATTAAAAATGATTGTGTTTAATGACCTCTCATAAGTGTCTCACATAATTGCGTTCCCAAACACCAAGCTTACATCGCAAGATAACATGACAGCGTTTGTAAATGCATTGTCGGGAAAAAAGAGCCACGGTGGCTTTCCTGCTTTCGATGCAGCAACTTCCATTTTTATTATTAATACTTTGTGCCAGTTTCCCAGGAAGTGACAATTTTGTTCTCTTGACATGGGATAGAGACTGTGCTTTATTCTCAAATTTTTTTTTTTTTTTTTTTTATAGAAACATAGCTAGTGAGGCACTTACAATGGAAGGGAATATGGTCATTATAAGTGTGTCACTGTAACCCAGAAGAGAGATCTGTGGAAATTAATTTTTGTGGTGATCAACATTATGCCTCAAGTGCTGTCGATTGAGCTTAGCCGGCATTGGACCAGGAATATTCCTTTAAGGTCAACATGACATCAAAATTGATTTGATTTACTTTCTTAAAGGGATAGTTTAAAAATATAAATTTTGTCATCATTTACTCACCCTCAAGTTGTTCCAAACCTGTATGAATTTCTTTCTTCTGCTGAACACAAAAGAAGATATTTTGAAGAATGTCAGTAACCAAACAGGCTCAGGAAATCAGGACAAAATATCATCTTTTGTGTTCAGCAGAAGAAAGAAATTCATACAGGTTTGGATACAACTTGAAGGTGAGTACATTTTCATTTTGGGGTAAACGATCCCTTAACACTTGTTTCTAGTCTTGCTGGTTCATGTAATTTCAAAGAAGAAAAAAACATTTGATACCCTGAATTGCCTTATTTTTCTTGCTTTTTTTAAGATATCAGACATGTAAGTTTATTGACAAGCCAACTTGTGTCATACCCAAAAACAGTATGCTTTGCAGACACATTCTTGATCAGTACACAGTTTAAGAAAGACAGATTAAGCACATGGCCTTATTTAATCAAATCAAAGTTTATTATTTTCTCATAAAAGGAAGGGAAATTAAAATAACTCTGTAAAATGTACACTTATTTCAGCCAGTTTCAGGCCTCTGCCGGGGGGGGGGTTTAAAACTTATTGGATGAAGGTCAAACAGTGAACTCAAACAAACACAGTCTGTTTAACTGTGTGACATTTCTACACACAATAAGACTGAGACACGCAATAAGACTGATGACTGTCTGCAATAGATGTAAACGCCAAAAGTTTTGGGGAAAAAACATGTATTAGCCTAAACCTTATAAACCGGTGACAGATTACAGTTACACTGAATTAATAGTGTTGAAATATAGCCAGCAAATGCAATTCAAGGTTAATGTTATTGAGCAAACACTTACGTCTGACAGCAGTCGTACAATAAATTAAATTCAGATGACAGAGTGATCAAAGGCAACGTGTCATTTCCTGCTCTGTGGTGGTGTGGTAGATATCACCGGCTTTGGCAAATGCAGTGCCATGACTAGGTTATTCTTAAAGCTCTTATTACAGGCACACTGGGTGTTTCTTCTACTATAGGATCTTTTGGCCCTGTGCACTTTTAAACTCTCTGAAAACACACTCTTCACACCCTCAGTTTAATTTATCCACTTACACTGTCCGTCCATTTATACATGAGTTTATGTCTAAATTTTTGGAAATGGGTGTGGAAAGTTTAAACATTAAAACTTTCTTTTTTTATTATTTTTTTATTTTGGAAAATGGTTCTATTTGTTAAGGCTAATATCATAGCTAGACTCACGTATTCTTCAAAATTACTAAATGCTAAAATGGTTTCTGATTATTAAAGTAATAATTAAATTTAAATTAAATTTGATTACAATTTAAACTAAATTGTTAGCTGATTTAACTGATTTGATTACATTTTTTTCAATGAATTTGTATTTGTCCTACAACGTTTTT